GCAACCTCAAACTCCTGGGCTCAAGCAATCCTCCTGCCTCAGCCTCAGGAGTAACAGGGACTACAGGCACACACCATTATGCCCTGCTAATTTTTTCTCTTTTTAGTAGAGACTGAGTCTCGCTCTTACTCAGGCTGGTCTGGAACTCCTGATCTCAAGCAATCCTCCTGCCTCAGCCTCCCAGAGTGCTAGGATTATAGGTGTGAGCCACCTCACCCAGCCAAATGCTTCCTAAAGTTTTATTTGACCTGGAACTTAAAGACTGGATAGAATTTTGACTGTGCCTCAGACGGTAGACATTCATAAAAGATAAATAAATGAAAAAGATTAGTAGTGGATAGAACTTTTCAGGCAGAGTAAACAGTATGTGCTGTAGTATTTAAAAATTGTTTTATGTATGTTACTACAAAGAAAACAGCCTGGAAAAATACAACATCCTGGAAAGAAAGTTTGTGAATAAGCTGTAAAGTGTTTTAGTCCTCACGTAAGTCATTGACCAGTTAACTTACTTGGTCAAACTAGAACACAGTGCTTACTTACAGTTCTGCAATGATTAAAAAAAAAAAAGTTAAGAATTTTTCTATGCTGAGCCAAACCTTATACTGAAACTTAGTCCTATTAGTCAAAAATTCATTCCAAGTGGGGTGCCTAGGGTTGGCAAGCTATAATCGAGGTATGGATGGATCTTACTAAGTCCATCACAGCTGAGAAATATACCTCAAAGATACATTTTCATAATGTTGGGTTGGAGCTCTAGATTATCCTTTATGTTTCGTTAATGTTAATTGAAATAAGGTGGAGACATGGGCTTATTGGGGATGTTTTGCTTTGTTTTGTTTTGTTAGGTGCAGCCCAAGCACCTTGGGTGTGTTGGGCTGAGCTGCTTCTATTTGGCTGTAAAATCAATAGAAGAGGAAAGGAATGTCCCACTGGCAACTGACTTGATCCGAATAAGTCAGTATAGGTTCACAGTGTCAGACTTGATGAGAATGGAAAAGATTGTGTTGGAGAAGGTGTGTTGGAAAATCAAAGCTACAACTGCCTTTCAATTTCTGCAACTCTATTATTCACTCATTCAAGAGAACTTGCCATTTGAAAGGTATGTGACCTTTGTTTTGAACAGAAGAGATTTGGAAATCAGAATGGTATTGCATAGATATTGCATAAAATCAGTATCTTCATAGAATTCTAATCAAAATAAGTAAAATGACATCTGTGTCTTCTTTAACTTTACTGTCTAACAGAAGTGAGAAAATTTTCAGTTGTCAATAGCTTCATGAAGGCTAATTCTTGGGATTAAAGTGCATTTCAACTTCCTAG